TTTCTTGTGTGTATTTTATTTTATTTTTTTATTTTCTTGCCAGTTTTATCCATTTAGACACTTTATTATTTTGATTTTTCTTTCTCCCTCAAAGGCATTTAGATGAGTTCAAAGAAGCTGAACTTTGATACCACAGTTTCCTTGCATTTTCCTGCTTGAACATTGCTCACTTTCCACAGAAGAACCAAGCTTAAACCAGAAAGACAGCTTAGAACCTAATCCCAGAAACACCATCCTGGTGACAGGTGATCAATGATTGTCACAAACAGCCTGCAGTATCAGTAGAAGTCACACTTGACAATGCCCAGCAGTGTAACTGTCTTCTTTTGCCTTTGTTAATCTTGGTCTCTGATGACCAACTCTTCAATAGTATTTAGCTCAACTCCGGAGACTGCCAGAAGTAGTAAGTATTTGACCAGATTTTCCAGTGTCTTAGGAAAATAAAGCTCCAAGAAGTTTCATCTGCTATGGAGTGAGAGGCCTTCTGACTTACATTATGCGTCAAAGTTGGAAACATCATATGAGCCTTCTCTGTTTTCTTTATCTACCTCAGATGTTAAAACTGACCTTCCATCCTTGGCAGGTAGCATCCCTTGTGGTGGAGAGAAGTTGCCAGAAAGCACACTTGGTTGACTATTGATCTCCCCTGATGTACTACTTATTCTCTGTCCAAGGAGTAGACTATGTTATCAAGATCCATGTACCAGTGGGAGTCGCACTACATAGCATAGACACAGATCTCTTCTATTACATGGTACCATGTTTCTTAAGTCCTGGTCATTTGGCCCTTTCAGATGATTAGTTCCGCTGGCAGGAAAGACTACTTCAACCATTTCCGAATGCTTTCCACCCTCAAATATTGGACTGTCCAGAGACAGTGTCCATAATTAAATTAATTCCCATTCTACGGAGAGTAGTATCCCATAAAATCCCCTGATAATCTCAAGACATCATTTTGAAGAGATCAAGCTAATTCTATGATAGCTTAATCTCTTCTCATCCTTTCATTCTTCCCCTATCCTTTTCTTTCCCTTTCACTTCTCCCCTTCCTGTCTCACCCCCATTTCACTTGTACTTCTTTCCCTTCATCTCCACACTCTCTCCATGCCCCCATTCTCCCTCAGTTTCCTCTCCCTCTCCATTTTCTTCACCTCCACTATCTTTAATAAACACACACACATACACACACACACGATTACTATTAATACTTTAGACTGTCTCTTTGTTACTACTTTTGAAAGGACTTGTAAAGTTGGTTTTGCTACCTAGACTTTTGTAAAGCATACAGGGAACTAGAGATATGTACACAAATTGTCAGGCAGGTGTTTACAGGCAAGATGGCTTGGTGTGTGTGGTAATATTGGTTTTATAGGTTAAGTATTAAAGTAAAAGCTTGCCAATGTAGGGAATTTTACTTTGATTGCAGGTTTCATTCTCTTTGCTTCTCTCCTTTAACTTTGAGCCCTGATACAACAGGCACAAAGAGAACAGGTCAATATGAGTTTTCAGATCTGGAATGAGTGCAGAGGTCTGTTTCTGTAAATTAGGCTAAATGATTCTTATCACCAGCCAAATTGATAATCTCTGCAGCAGAGACTGGTGGGAATTCCCCAGTGGTAACCTACAAAAGTGAATGTGTCCCAGCATCGAGGCAAAGACCTTGTTCATTCCAAGAGAACATGAGTTCAGTTATTAGCTGAGATTTTGGTGCTGCTTCCTGGAGACCCCAAAATTATTGCCTAAATAAATAAATCAGTGAACTCAGAGGACAGAAAGCACTGCTCAGATCTAGGTTGCAATTTATACACGTTTTTCATATAACCACTGAAAATAAAATATATAGTTACTCTTGAATAGCAAAATTCAGCCAGTGATGTAAAATGATCAGCCCAAGTATTGTTTGCATGTTTGAAGCCATTATAAAATTCTACTTATAAACTACAGCTGCAATTACTAAAATACACATGGCATAGTATTAGTTTTCTGACTATAGTGAATTCTGTAATATTGGAGTATTCATTTTAGTAATTATTAAACATTTATTTAGAACGGATGTTTGAACTATACCTAAGATTTAAATGAATACTTTTAAACTAATCAATGATTAATCAATTTAATATTTTAATATCTTAGAAATAAATTAATGACTGATTTCATGTCTCAATGGTTCATGAATGTATAAAATTAAACATCTCGTGAGATCTGTTTATAAAATAAATAGATATTATATTAATATTATTTGTGAGAATAATATATAGCTGCCATCTCCAGGAATGGAGTCTTTATGAGCATTAGATAAACATACACAATACAGAATGATGTATTTTATCATTTTCCTATAACATCTTTTCCTGTGTCCTCTGTAGAAGTTTGCATTTTTAAAATAGACGAAGGTTCTCAAATATTTATAATAGAACATTACTCTCTTTAAAAGTATAAGTTCCTTAAAGACATTGTTAATGTAAGCTACAGCTATTATTACTTATCACAAGGATCTAAAATTGAGTTATTTTAATAATATGTAAGTACCAATTCATTTAAAGGCAACAATAATAAACACATTGGCTATTAACATGTTTTTTCAACAAAAACAACTAGTTTTCGAAACAATTCTCTGATGAAGAATTGGCTGGCAGTTTTGCAAATGCCTTCTGTGTCTGTCTTAAAAGAAAAGAAAACAGCTCTTCTGAGCTGAAATCTTCAGCTAGCCTACTGTGACAATACATCCTAGAGTCTCTTCAGGATCTCACCGTACAACCAGATGCCACGTGCATAAAAATGATAAGGCACGGCTTACAAACACTATGAAAACTGTGGATCTGAGAAGCTCAGCAGCCTCCACCCCTCCTTAGATTGCCCTTGAGAGTCATCCATGTGCCTGTCAGGTTGTGAGAATTGCAAATTGTTGAGTGAACACAATGGTAAGTTGGTACTCTTGAAAAGTACACAATGGAAAATGATAGGTAGGTAGAAAATATGAAAGTTCTCTCTCTGTTGTTATAACTTTCTCTGGTGTTTTTCTGTTGTCTATCTTCCCTTTGGGAAGGTGATGACAGCCTTTTGCTCTTTCTTTCCTTCTTTCTTTCTTTCTTTCTTTCTTCCTTCCTTCCTTCCTTCCTTTCTTTTCTTCTTTCTTTCTTTCTTTTGAGGAGTCACTAACAGATATTTATTTACTTTTATTGAGGTATATATTTTTCTCTGCTCCCCTCTCTTCTACCTCCTTTCCTTCTACCCTTTCCCATGATCCCCATGTTACCATTTTACTCAGAAAATCTTGTCTTTTTTTACTTCCCATGTAGATTAGATCCATGTACATCTTTCTTGGGGTCCCCTTTGTTGTCTAGGTTCCCTGGGATTGTGGATTGTAGGCCGATTTTTCTTTGCTTTTGTATAAAAGCCACTTATGAGTGAGCACATATTTGTCTTTCTTAGTCTGGATCACTACACTCAATATGATGTTTTCTAGATCCATCCATTTGCCTGAAAATTTCAAGATATCATTATATTTTTCTGCTATCTAGTACTCCGTTGTGTAAATGTACCACATCTTCTTCAGGATAGCCAAAACAATTCTGTACAATAAAGGAACTTCTGGAGGCATCACAATCCCTGACTTCAAACTCTACTACAGAGCAATAGCCTTTATTAATCCAGTTGACTTGCTTTGCTGCATTCTGCTCAGATACGTCCCTGGAACCACCAACCTGACATCAATCAAAATTGGATTGGTTCATGGGCAAAATACAGCTAGGTAGAGTTCTTCCATTATAATTCTTATAACTCAGCTCTTTTCTCTGTTAAAGGCCATACTAAGCTGTCAGAAGAGGACAAAGATGTCAGTCCATAATGACAGACAGAAGAAAGAGATGGAGTCTGGCACATTTTCTTTCGTGGCTTATTCCATTTCCTAAGCGCTCCAAAATACAATTCAAATGAATCCTCCCCATTCCTGTAACTTATCAGGCCTATACCACCATCAAATGACTCTCTACAAGCTTCTAAAGCTACTATACAAAAATTTCCACACTGCCCTCAAGCAACAGCTCCAAGAACCTGTCCCTAGATGACCAGGGAGCAGGCACAGGCTGGTATGAAAAGAAATCGAACCTGAGTCTCAAACTTCAAGCCCAGCTAATCCTTTAGGAGACAATGACGACTGTTCTCTACTCTCATAAGCAAGTCATCCAGTAAAACAATCTCCAGTCCTAAACTGCCTGGTGCCACTTTAGAATACAGACATTTCCTATTGTCCCCTGCCCAAACTGTAGCTGCCCAGGATATAAACACGTTATCAGCAATAACTAAATAGCTAAGTACAAAAGTCACTAACTTTTCTTCATTGTTTAAATAGTTCAAAATGGGAATCAACATGTGTAAAAAGAAGGACTGGTCAATTCATGAATTGTTTAAGTAGATTTTTTTTACTTGATAGTTCTTACTATTTGATAAATGACAAAGAAGTCAAGGGAAAGATTTCTTCTGCTTTCATCGAAGGATTTTCACTAGCTGCCAAAAGCTGGGAATTAGGACATACAATGATTACTTTACTGTTAGTTTGTCTTCTGCATATGGATACCAATGTGAGGCATATAACCTAAATTAATAAATTAGTTTTATATTGTGGTTGAATAATTTCCTTAATTGTTTTTGAAGATTACAACTGAGATTGTGTGGGAGATATATTATACATAGAAATAGTAGAAAAATTTTACATAATTGCCTATTTAACGTTTTTATCCATATAAAATCATCTTTGTTAATAATTTTATAATGAGATCATCTCTTTCATCTCATCAGTTGTCGCTGAGGAACTTTTCAAAATAAAAGAACTTGCTCAAGCCTAACAGGGGAATGATTTCCCTGAAATCTGTTGATATTTAAAATTTTCTCAAGCTAAATATATATTTTATTTAACTCATTATTAAATCTTGATCTCTTTCAGCTATTGCATATCTTTTCCTGTTTAATTCGTTACATTATTTCTACATTATTTTATGCAGGTTGAAAACTCTGCTACATGACCTATGACTTAGATTTGGTACTTTCTTTCCCTGGAAAACACATCTGACAACAAAGCTGAGTTGTGAAGGTCATCATCATAAAACAGCCTGGAGGAAATCTGCAGTCTACAGTCATTAGGAAGCCCTCCCTGGAAACCCTTCACTAAGAGTAAGAAGATAGAGGCTTCTGGGGATTAGAGAGCATTATTTATCCCAAATGTGGTTGGGAATGAAAGCGTTCAGTACCCTGTCCTTCCCTCCACTCTACCATGCAGACGCCTGCTCCATTTCCAGAAGGCATCAGGGCTCCCATTTCTTTATGTGTTTACCACCTAAGGGAAGACACACCAATGGACACAGATCGTTATCAGAAGAACGTCTGCCAACCACAGGTCTTAAAAGGCTATCAGGGCATTTTCCTTCGCAGCCTTCTCTCTTCCAGTGTCCTCCCTGAATATTGGCCAATTAACTTCAGCCAATTGCTTCCTGTCCCCAAACTTAGCATTTGATCTGTGGTGGGCCTTAACTTAGTATGTGGTTAATACATTTTCAAATGAGTCTTCTGTGAATATTTTAATAGGACTGAGGATGTAATCTGTGTGCTCTCCCTCACTTCTTCCACTCAGGGCAGACAAGAGGCTTCCCAAGACTCTCAACTCATTGGTTCAGGGGCCCTTGAGATTCATTAAAGAGCTAATGACACATAAAAGCTCAGGATTCATAGTTTCCTAGCCCTCTGTGGCCTTCTATGTGTGGATGCAGCGTCCACCACTACAGCATCCACTTTCAAATTTTTTATCTTCATTAATTGAAATAGGAAATGGATTTAAAATCTGAGGATGAAAAGTCTCGAATGCTATTGATACTATTAGTTAGCAGGGGAATGGATAACATTAATACATCTAATTGATACCTAAGGAGATCTTTTCCCACTTGATCAATTACGAAATACTGTTAATATTGTTCCAGGAGGCACTGTGTTTGTATAAGGACTTCATTATAAAGCCATTATTCTATTTTTTCTTCCCAGGAGGAGATGGGAAAATGAAAGAACCATCAAGTAGCTCCATTGTCTCTGTGGATGTGAGTGCAGGCTACAATGATTCATCTATGTTATAGCTCCTTTTACAAGATAGGAACTTCAAAGCTCTTACCAAATTTCTGCCATTCACCTAGATTTATAACTAACTTTAGTTCTGTGGAAAGACAACACAATTGCTAGAAAAATAGCTTTAAAATAACCTATGGGCAAGTCGGGTCTTTGTGAGATCCGGAAAACAAATACAGTAGATTTACAAGTTCGTTATAAAGACAACAATGTGAGAACATGCCATGCTAAAAGAAGGCTTCTTCAGGTATTTTGTATATGTCTTTTATTTTTAATTAAAGGTCATTGCTTGCTAATGATGCGGAGGAGAGGTGTTAGAATACTGAGCTCTCAAAGATAGTGATCAAAGTCTTTTCACTCCGCTTTGTTTTAATATTATTATTAAGCTGCTAATTTGGTGGAGGTGATCATTAGCGTTTTAATGCGAAGCAAAAGCTTCGGGACAAGAACTTCTGGTTGAAGATCAAGATGAGAGAAACTGGTTCAGTTATGGCCTTAATAATTGTAACCGTGGGGAGCCTGGCAGAGCCCGTTTTATGAATTAATATAATATACAATCCACCAGGTACAAATGGAGAGGACAAACAAAGGAGAATTGCAAGCAGCGGCTATACTGGGACTGTGTGGCTGTGAGGGAGTTGCTTGACAAATGTAGGTTGATTCAAAGTGGGCACCAGTACAGTACCGCAGATTCCTTTTCCAACAGGAGACTGCAGAGCTGAGGGCCAAATGGGTAGGGAATTCAACCCAGAAGAATAAAACTGGGAAAGACCTTTTGGAATGCAACTAATTTTACATACTCCATTATCCTATAATGTTCCTTGTGGGATTTTCTTTTCTTTAAGTGGATTAAATCAAACACAGAGTTGTTGTTTTTGTGTGTTCTGCTCCTGAGATATAACAACTCTTAGACAGAAGTTATAAACAATTTGGTCTAGGGTCTGCTACCTATCTACCGAGGAAATAATATGCCACTAACCTTTTCTGATTAGCAACATGTATCATTTTATCCTGGAGCAAACTATAAGTGGGAAAATTCAGGTTTGAAAATGTCCATTCAATTCACTGCAGACAAAACAAGTGTGTGCGTGTGTGTGTGTGTGTGTGTGTGTGTGTGTGTGTGCCTTATCTCTACAATCTGTGGACGGCTTGTTTTTACCTCTGCCCTGATGCTTGCACTTTGATTCTATCTTTGAACATTTATTTTGCATGTTGCCACCAAGTGTCATTTTCTGGTCAGTTTGGACATTTTCCCTTCCTCTCATATGGCAATGACTAAGTGAGTCTCTTAAACAAGAATTGATAATTTCTATGGAAACGTTAAAAGTTTTGAGTTTTCCTGTAACAAGGGAGAAAAAAACAAAATTTAAAACATTAGATATTTCTAATAGTATTACTACATACACACATGTATATCAAAGCACACAGATTCATATAGATAAATACTATTATATATCCATGAATAGTCACTCTTCTGTAACTGTATGTCTTAATGGGATTTTGGCGGTTTCTGCAGCACCAATCACCAAATGTTTGTGACTGGCATCAAAATGCATCTCCAATGCATATGGACACAAGTACAGGAAGCTCCTATCTCACATACTTGTTTGTCAATTTCTAACTTTCACTTTGATGCATTCCTGGAAACTCATAAGTTCTTGTCATCTTAACTGAGGATTCCCGGTGATGCTCTGTTCTCCCCAGTTCAGGGATAGGCACAATCATCCATCCATTTTCTCCCCAATCATAATATTTAAAAGCCCTCCCCCTCTCTTTCTGATAGCCAATCCTTTTCTATTTTTTCTTTGTCATTGAACATTGACATTGACTATATTCTTTAATTTGACTCCATCTGTCTCTACTCCACCAACCTAGGACAAGCTACCATGATTTACTATGTAGAGACTCTGATAGAGTGCCACATAGGCCCCTGTGTTTCTACCTTTTTTTCTAACTCTTCTCTCCTTCAGCAGAGGGACTTAATCAGCTTAGAATCCTTCAGTGACCTCTAATTGTGCATCAATGATAAAGCTGAAACTAACAGTAGACTCCAAAGGTCTTGACAATCTAAGGAATGCCACCACTTCAATATTTACTCATGGATGTTTATCTTAGTACTTACATCTACCCAACATTATTTTATTTACATTAGGTAATTACCCTGTATAAGTTCCCCAATTTTCACAGAAACTAAATGTGAATGTGTGATACATTTCTGAACCATAAGGCTGGTAGAGATCACTAAACAGGTTTTGTTTTTATTTCTTGTCCCTTTCTTCTCTTCATCCTTGTTTATTTAAGTAGGTTCAACTTGCACATGGACCTTTTCCTTTTGCATGTCGTTCCTGGCATGTAGCAAAAAACTAAAGCCTGAAAGTAAAACAGCCACCTGCTGGCCACAAAAACAGAAGCAATAGGAAATGAGCTACATTTGAAAAATAGTGAGCAGAAAGAGGGCAAAGACTCATGTCTTTGACAAGTTTTATCCTGGGACTAAAATTAATTAGGAGACAGAAAGAGAAACAGAAAGAGAGAGAGAGAGAGAGAGAGAGAGAGAGAGAGAGAGAGCAAACAATTCATGTACACACAAAATGTTAGTTTTTAATCCTCTATGTCCACTCTTCCAGTACATAGAACTAAATACAAACTTCAGTGCTTATAAAAGGGCATAATACTATTTCTGGGTAGAATTTATTATCCAGATAGGTGGATGATTTTCCTTCCTGGAGCCAGGCATACCTTGAAGCAGTCTGACAGCAACCACATGTATGCCTTCTATGGTTTTGAAAGACACAAACAGGGGCAGCCTTTGTCCTCCCTGCAGAGTTCTCTGATAGATCAGACTGATTAGAAATGGCTAGAAAAGTGCAACACTGTCTTCCTTTCCGGTGCTTCTGATAACTCTAGATCGGTTCCTAACAGGGCAGTCAGAGTCACTGCCAGTCCCCGTCTGCCTAACTCTACTGCTAATTCCCTATGATTCACGTTGTGTTGTTTCTTGAGTGTTCCAGTCTCTTAGCAGCAAAATGTGGAAGGTAGAAGAACAATAGAATTCTGGGTATTTTACAAAATAATCCCCGTGGAACAGAATGACTTTGCCAGTCTGGGCTACTTTGCTCTCTGAATGGTCTGTGGAAGAGGTGAGTTTCCCATTGTGGTCTCAGTTTCTTCTGAGAAACTGACACAGCAGTGTCTTCTCTATTGGGTGGGGTAAAGCATGATTTTTTTTGCCTTTGTTCTTCCTGTTTATCAATCCAACAGATGCAAGAAGAAAGACCACTGACTTAAATCATGGCCAAATTAATTGAAGCAAGCATTATTCACGTACAAGGTTTGACCCCACAAAGCAAGGTTCAAGAGATCAACAATAGACAAGGGGAAGATAATAGTTTGTATAGCTCAGGAGTAGGGTTTTTTCCAAATAGGCAATTTGGCAAACAAATAGGTGAGGCAACAGAAGCAGAACATAAGCATAAGAAGTTGGTCAAAACAGCCTTGTGAAACAAAGGTATGGTTACAAAGTGGTCATAACAAGGTGGTCAGAATAATGTGGTCATAACAAAGTAGCCATAACAACAGGTGGTCATAACAACCTTTAGGGACAAAGGCATGGTTGCTCTTTCCTGGAATAGGCAGCACGGAACTATTTGTAGTTAAGGTTACAGGTGGGGCATAACTCAATTCCTGAGGAACAGATTTAAACATAAACAGGAATGAGTATACTTTGTCTTTACTGTAAGCTGACTTTCTTTTTAAAAAAATTGAGAATAGACTCTTCTCTTATACACTGTATCCTGACCACACTTTCTTCTCTCTCCACTCCTCCCAGATTCTGCCAATCTCCCCTCTGCCCCAGATACTCTCTTTCTCTTCAGAAAAGAGCAGGCCTCCAAAAGACAACAATCAAACATGACAAAATAGGATACAATAAGACAAGGCAAAAGCCCTCATATCAAAGCTGAACAAGGTAACACAATAGGAGGACAAGAGTCCCAAGAGCCGGCAAAAGAGTCAGAGACATACTTATTCCCACCATTAGGAGTCCCACAAGAAGACTACACTAACAACCATAACACATATGCAGAGGACAGTGTACAGACCATTCCAGGGTCTGTGTTTACCTCTTCAAACCCAATATTAAGCAGGTTCGTTTATTATGGGTTTTCATGAATGTTTTGTTTGAAAGTTCAGAAAAATGGAATTAGTTGGGTATTATTGGATCAATAATATGTTGAGCCTTTGAAAATAGTATTCAATGTCATTTTGTCAATATTTGGCATGAGGTCTGAATTTGAGATGTTTTTCAATCAAGTAGGTGCTTTATACTATAAAACTTTAGATTTTTACTGAATAACAGTAAGAAAGATAGAAAGTTTATGAAGACAGAAAGAACACCAAGGCTTTGAATAATGAATAATTATATATTTTAAAAGGTGAATACTTGTTGTCAGAGTTCAGACAAAAGAAAGCCTGACATAAAACTGAGCATAGGAGGTTAAGTTTTAATTGAGTCTTAGAGTAAATTTAGAAGGTATAAACTCAGTGCTACTCCTGATTCTCACTCTTTCCCTCCTGGGTTAATGTAAGAAACACCCCTCAGGAAACCCAGCTTCGCTATTAGATATTCTTAGAGTTACATTTTACCACCATCGTCAGTTTGCTGCTGTTAAGGGTTAAGAAAATTTTTTGTTGTACAACACCATTCCAAGCACACAGTGGATGCTTCCGATTGTTAAACATTTATATTAGTGTAATGCAAGAGCTAACCATGAGTCAGACCAAAAGAGAGAATCCAACAAGCATCATTAAAACAACAGCATATTTCAAAGAGCTGAGTAAGAAGCCAAGCTGAAATCAAGGAGAACCTGAATAAACACTCAGGTTGGTTTTAATCAGAATAGGTCAGAACATGGAAGGACATTCACAACCTCTTACTGAAAGGACATGCTAAAATGGCAGGATGGCTAGTTTAATCAACATGGTGACTTAATAAAAAGCTAAGTTACTATACAAACATCCATAGTCTCTTTGTACATATCATATCATTTCATCTTTATTTCTCTGTAGATGACAGGTATCTTTACTTTTCTATTTTGTTTTGGTTTTGAGATAGGGGTTCTTTGTGTATCTCTGGCTGTACTAAAACTCATCTGTAGACCAGGCTTGCCTCAAACTCACAGAGATCCTCCTGCCTCTGCCTCCCAAGTGCTGGAATTAAAGGTGTGTACCACCACCTCCTTAGTGCTTACTAAGAGCACTGAAAGAACCTGTCATGAGTCCACACTAATGTGATCAATAGCAGGCAGAGCCTGGATTTGTCCCCAAGTCTGGCCAGCATTACCCCAGATTCATAATCAAGGGACTCATATTTACTGCATGGAATGGAAAAACACATTGCAAGGACTATCATGGAGATCTGTGAGGGTGTGAAACACATGTGACTTTATAATCCCTAAAGTGTCTTAGTTCTCACTGACTGAAATGTGACTGGTTCAAACTTTGAACTTGGACTTTGTACTATACTGAAAGGGACACTGACGGCTGACAACTCTGACAGAACCAAGAAGGGCCAATTCTTAGACAACTAAATCTCTGACTTTTTTTTATTGATGATTTATGGCCATGGGCACAATCATTTCTATCACCAAGAATCAGCAAAAGATGAAGGTTCATGAAATTTTATCTATGTAAATGACCTGTCCAATGTATGAAAAATCTTTGCCTTCGTCTTTCAAAGGCTGATTCCTACATAGAACCAGGAACTTGAGTAGGTTATACCCAAGAGATCTGTTTGTATTGATTTGACTAATTGTGGAATTTCACATGCCCTCACTGGGCAAGTCAAAGTTGGACTGGAGACATTACCATTAGAATTGGTGGCTCAAATGCCCACTAGGAAGCATCATCACTGGGGGTCCTCTTGTAAGCTTGAGGGGCACTGGGTCATTTAGATGGGACAGGAGCGGCTTAGCTTCTTGACTGTTCTTTGGGGAACCAGCTTATGACAGAAGAATTCTAAATACAAATACCAATTTTCATAGGGCAGCGGCAATGTTAAAATGTCAGTGCAATTAAAAAGACAGAAGGAAGAAGAGTGAAACGGAGCTGCCGCAAGCAGGATCCCAACTGTAAACCCAGATGCCCTGCGAGGCCTCCGATCTGTGCTCCCGAGGAGAGCTTTCCCCTCATGTGACACTACTGTTCTGTTTCTATAAAGGCTTCTATTGGATAAAACACCGGCTGCTGGAGAAGAAGTTTTAGGTCTGAGGAGCTAAGTTGAGACTGTATCTGTCGAGTCCGTGTTCCTGTGTGTTTCCACTTCTTTGGGGCTTTCACATGCTCCTGAAGAGGAGATAAAATTTCACACAAAGTTTCAAAAACTTCAAGTTAAGACTAATTAGTCAAAAATGCATGATAAAGGGCAAGGGATTAGATTACTACTCAAAACTAAGCTGGCTTAATTTGGGATAAGATCCGGTGCATCTCGTCTCGTGCCTCGCTGCTTCTGAGGGCCTGTTGTGCGCCTTCTGATAAGTGTTCTGAGTCGCCACATGTTGTTCTGACTTCCAAAGCAGCCTCCCATCATTTAAGAATGATTTCTTACAAAGCATGTGACAGTTGAGCCACAGATAACCCAGAGTAAACAGAGTATTTATAACTCGCTGACAAGAGAACACCATTCCCTTACACAACACAGTTACGCTTTTAGTGTTGTCTAAGAGGCAGCAAGATGTTTGTTAATTTACAGTGGAAGAGTCTAAAATTGAAATTAAACCCAAAGGAGAAAAATCTGAGTAAGAAAATTCATCTTTAGCTATAAAGAAAGATTGTTTTTACACTGTCACTGAAATGTGGTAGAGACTACATTTCCAAATTTATGAGGAGCAACTGTCAGCGTCTGAGTTCCCATGTGTAAAGACAATTGGCACACTCCGACATTCTGCATGGTGTCCTCACATGGGAAAAGGCTGCCAGTCAATGGCTGCAAGGGACTCAATGTGGCATTCAGGACTAAGCAGGTCATATGACTTCCAAGGAAGCATCACACCTTCCAGCTAAGCATGTACATTTAAAAATGCTAAGAAAAAAAAAAGATTAAAAAAAAATCCAAACCCACTTCACCCGAATACAAATATCTGAGGACTCAATTGTGTCAGCAGATAGGCCACCTGTGTGTAATCTATCAACCTCAACAAAAGCACTTGATAGGCTGAAAGTCAGGGTAGACTGTGATGAGAACAATCTCTAGAAAGTCTATACACTGTAGCTGAAAAGCAGTTTTCAGACTTCTAGGTACAGGATGGTGATCTTTGGGAAGCATAGGTCATCCACGACTGGCCCCAACTAAAGAGGTGGAAGACTTGGCATGGGAAAGGGCACATCCAGAATCTAATGCACATTTCTTCATCCATTCTCGTAGATAGACAGCTATTTATTTATACCATACAGGAGAAACAAAATCTTATAAGGACTCAATAGTGCCGCCTGGTGCATGATCAGGTGATTAAGATCAGAAAACTACTTCTCCTTGGGCAGAGCTGTTAACAGTGTAGTTCATCTTAATACCCTACTGACACTAACACTGTATCTTGGCTCTAGCATGTCTAAGCAATTCAATAAATTTCTCATATAAATGTTCCTTTTCCTTCCTTACTTCTGGGTGGACTACGCCTCAAGATAGTTCTTCAGTGACTCACCCTGTGGTCCTGGCGTTCCTTCGTGGATAATGTCACTTTTGATTTAGTGTAAGCACAAGATTGGTGGCACATTTTAAAGGCGATAGTGGTTTGTTCGTCTTACCTAGACAGGAAAACGCTAATGGTAGGGGCTGCTCTGATAGGCTTATCAATTAGATCGAGTTCAAGCTGCAATCAATCCCACATGACTTCATAAATCATGAGGACCTGTAGGATAAAGTTCCACAAATCCTCGAAGCAAAGAACCAAGTGAAAATTTTAGAAGGCCAGAACATGACAGCTTTGCTTCCTCTGTAAACGTCTAAATTAGGTCTGTGTTCAGTTTGTAATGAAATCAAGAACGAAGATGAGATAAACAAATATATTAATATTTTATTTTTAGCCATAAAGTATTATTTTAACACCAATTCAATTCATCATTAATTTTATCAGTACAAAGGAAGAGTCAAACTCAACAGTGAGTAGACGAGGACTGACACCCTTAACCAGATAAGACCAACAGCAGCTTCATCAGTTGTCAACATCCTCCTCCATTAACCTGTGTGCATCCAGCAAATAGGGTGCAGAAGAGGTGTCCAACTATACACACAGGAGTTTAAAATCATGTGGAAATACACAATTCTAAGCATGTTTTAAAAAGAAACATAACTTTATTTGTGATCTACCACCACAGAAAGACATCCTACAGGAAGTGAAAATAAAGAATATTTCTTGGTTCCCTGGCCATTTTCAAGCATTGTGCATGTGTGTCAAAATGGAAGCCGGTGAGCCTAGCAACAGCACCAAGAGTTGAGGCAGCGCTGCTGCCATGGAATGGGCAGGCTGAGCCCTGATCCACGAGGATTAGGAGTTAACCTCACTCAAATGGTAGGTAACCTTCCAGGAGTCAGAAGCACTCTCTGCTCTGTAGCCCTGCTTCCAAAGCAATTCTGACATTTCTAGAAAGTGCCAAGACACGTTTGTTGAAGAAGTTCATGAACAAATGGACGTGTGAATGGGAGCAGCTGTCCTGTTCTGCTTTCTGTTTGGGGGCACTCAAAGGATACATAGGTGGAGATGACCTAATGATCACTGAATGAAAAGAAAAGTATGCATGTGGAGAGTATAGGTTTCAGTTGTAGACAAGAACTTCAAGAATGTCACATTATTACTATGTGTAAGTGTTTCTCTCTGGGTGTCTCCCTCCCGCTTTTAATAGCGTAGAAGTTAAGGCTACTACATCAGGAGTTTAAATGTCTTTCTTGTCTATTTGGTCATGTGCTATTGGCATTAACACTGTCAATAATTCATGGTGAAAGAGGAAGCCGCTGGGAAAGGTTGCCCATTGTCGGGCAGTGATCAATAGGTGAGACCACAGCGTGTGATGTATTGTCAAGTAGCAGCCAGATTCGCCTTCCTGTGGATTCTCAAAATTGCAGTACTTACACCCAGTTTGTCTGACCCTTGCTGGGCTTATATCTTCATTAACCTTGTTCCTCTGGTTAAAGACTGTGCCTTAAACAAATTTCCGAAGAAAACACACTTAGTCTCTGTGATCTGGCAGTGGGCCTGGAGGTTTGGGTTTCTTGATGTTAGTTTATATTAAACCAAACTGTCACTTTGTTTTCCTGTCTTTCTATATTGGGTCACTTGGTGCTTACGTGATATGATCCAGGACAATTCAATTCAAGGAGACACATGTCCCTTCTCATTGCGCATATGAAACTGTAGCTCCCTTTTGCCCTGTGGGAAAGAGAGCAGGTCAGGTGCCCAAAGGTAACAGAGGAAACTTTAGGACAACCATTACGGCTCCACGCCAGAGGTCCAGTATAAGCACAAGGCTAAAACACAGTGTGATGACCCACACTGCATAAAAGAACAGCATTCTGATCACCTCTATTTCTGATGCCTTGGGAAGGCAGTGCAAAATAACAAGGCTGCCATTTCTGAATACCATCAAACATAATACAAGAGCATCTCGGAATCTCAGGAGAAATAAGGTCACTTCTTGAAATTTCTTCTAATTTGCAGTTTTCTCACTTCTTTGATTCGGGGTGTAAGCAATGCTGGGTTTCTTTCTTGTTGGAGTTTCTGGGTGACCTCTGGATATTGACACACCGATTTGCTTCTGTGTGTGCTATTTTACCCAAATGCCAGAATACAAATCAATGTTGATATGACCTGATAACCAGTCTATGTCAGCCACTACAGTGTTTCTCAAAGAATTATGCGTAGGGAAAAATGCATCCGATAGAATGTGAGAATAGTGTCCGCTGGAGAAAAATCGTGATGCTGAGTTTCAGAGTGGAAAAAAAAACCAGAAAAAGATTCAATGCTGTAATATAGCAGTTGTAATGAGAAAAATGGAGGACTAAGGAGAGATGGGAACGGGGAAAGATAAAGGGATTCTGAGTCCCCTTTCATTTTTTTCCTCTTTCCCCAAAGAGCCCATCCTTGTTTTCACATACTTGCTTCTTTTTGACATTAGCGCACCCTTAAACCTGCTTGACATATGACAAACACTTGTCCTCGTAAACTTATGGTCAAGGCATTGAAAGCAAATACAAATCGCAAAATCTTTCACCTGAGAGAAGCTCCGTAGGAGGCTGCGTGGAACCAAGACGGCATCACGTCTGCCAGAGCCACAAGGCGGTACATTTGTTAATGAGTTGCAACTAGCATTAACGGGCAAAATAATGCCTCAGCCTTCCAGGCCAGTGTTTGGAGATGGTTCTGCCTACCAGGTTTGAATATGTTCTTTGAAAACTGACACGTGCTTTACCCACATCTCTTTAGGAACACAGGGATTCAAAGGCTGGAGAAAAGACTTCCATGGTTTTCCAACACAAACCTGAGAAGATAATTAAACAGATGGCAACAATAAACCGAATCGGAACACATCAGGGAGTGAAGTCCCTTATTAAAGCCTTGCAAGCCGAAGAGAGGGAAGAGAGGAAAGTAAAATCCAAACCTAGACTCCAGGGTATTGTTTTTGCCGTCAAGGGCTTTATGTCATTGGTGACCTCAGAAGCGGAGGCTAATCAACCATTTAAGAATGGATTTACTACCGTCTAGGAGAGGGCACCTGGAGGTCTGTGCGCTCACTCCACTCCTCAGAGCAGGAGTGGGAAGACAAAGTCTGTGAGACTCTCAGACAGCTACTCAGGACTTTCCTCAAAGGCCTCAGCATCACGCAAAGACAGACAGACAGACAGACACACACACACACACACACACACACACACACACCTGCACACTTCAAACCTTTGAGCCTCCAAATGCCCCCTGACACATTCCCCTCTCCAAACCAGAAGTCAGAGGGCTGATACATTCCTTGTACCAGAGGACAAAATCTAGGTATTTAAAACTTCTGCGATGATCTATGTACTGAAAAATATTTTGAGACTCATTTTTGGTGCTAGAACGATCCCAATTTATTGTGTTCCACAAATAAATTAAGATTCCATTTATTTTTTAAAACTTAAGATTGTAACTACATAGTGAACTGAATCTATGACAGATTAATAAGCTTATTGTTATGTCTGTCTGTAATATATATATATATATATATTGTTTTCCAGAAATACACAAATAAGTACAAAATCATGTTATACAAATATGTATGTACTTACTTGTGTGGTGGTTCTTTATAGATATGTATACATACTATATATGCAGATTCAGAACTCCGTATGCATTCACATACGCTGTAAGCCTGTATAAAGAAATGCAGAATCTACTGCATGTAAGAAAATATCTAGGTATTACAAAGAGTTGTAAAAATATTAATGAACCATCACACATGCAAAGATAGTATGGTATTACATCAAGTGTCTATAACCTGGGGTTTAGTTGAGTTGCTGTTTGCCATTCTCTCTGTCCTCTGCCTAACATGGAGAACTGTGTGGACACTACTTATAAATCAAAGATGGTTCATCTTCAGGAACTATAGAACTATTCACTATGCTTTGTTTTAAGTTTATCTTACCTGTAACCAAGGTCTAATAAAAGGTGATTTTTGAAAATTAATGCAAACGTTAAACCGGGAAAAGATACAACATAGAGGTAAACTTGGATTCATTGGCTAAACCCATTCTTTACCTTGGCTTTTACCTTCTTAAAAATGACAGGTCACCTTTGGAGCATGTCCTAAGACTCTCTTCCTAATGCTGACTACAGTTCGGAGTTGTTTGGAGGGTAGCATAAAATAAAAATAAAAGAAGATGCACTGCAGATAACCGGTTGGGAAAGCACTCGGAATATTAGGTAACCTCTTTTAATTAGAATGTATAATTTCAGATTACTGACTCTGAACATCATGGGACTCGAGATTTTGATTCATCAGTGATTCTCCTTTATGTCTCACTAAGATGTAAAAGCCAGATCTCCGCTCTCACAGATTCCAGCTTCTCCACACGGTGCTGAAGCTCTTACCTGTGATCTCCAATGCTGCTCTGCCCCCTTGTGCTGCTGTGGTGAACTCAGCAGAGAACAGTGTGCCTTGCTCTTTGTACATGAACTACAGAACACCCCACTGTCACTTCTCACGTTTCTGGCAAGTTCAAGGTCGGTGTCTAGCTATTTTCAGCTCATCTCCTCTTGATCCACGCAGAGAAATGACAAGGTAACGTGATTCGGGGTCAGCTGTATTACAGGAACCGTTACATAAACGGAGAAAGTGAAAATCAATCCTAGCTGACAGTGACTTCGGGATAATCAGCGCTCCCTAGATGCCTCTGTCATCTCGCCTGCATCAAACACCGTGTGACTTCTGTCAGATCCTTTTAATAAAACTATGTTCTCACTTTCAGCAACCTAAATAAACGCCATACTGGGGCTGAATCTATCTAGGCTACTTTAGCCCTCTAGATTTGTTTAGCCCTCTCTAATACTTCCTCGGGAAGCCACATAAGTGCCACCTGTTACCCCAGGTTTGTTACTGACCTGCTATGAAAGCATCGTGGCAAAAACTGCCACATTGAGTGATGTGTCTGAGCTTCCCTGTGCACTTCTGTATCCCATGAAATTAACCCAACTCCTGTCTCCACACACCCTTCTTTTCTTCTGGGCACCCATATCCTCATCCATCATTTCTTGTTGGGGACAGGTCTCTTGCAGCATTTTTAGGTGTTCGTTGAAATTTCCCTTTTGAATGCTGTGTTTTTACTGAGCCGTGGCCCCTAACCCAGAGTCGGGAAGGAATGGCGTGTTTAACAAGATACTTCACGACAGTGACATTCCTTCTGCCGACAGCACCTTGCATGTCAGTTTCAGGAGGGAGCATCTCTGTCCCACCCACCTTGTGCTCTCAGGAAACTGAAGCAGGCAGTCCTCCATTGAGGCACAATTTACCATAATATTAGTTGTCAGTAAATTCAAAGACCGAACGACTAAAGCTATAAAATGGATTAGAAGCAATTTAAAAAAGAATTAACAAACTAGAGTAAGAGTATACTGTCAACAAACAAATGCTCCATCATAGGACTGTAATTTGGAATTTTAATTACCCCTCTGCTCTGTAACAAAACAATGTCTGAACTGGCAGCGATTTGAATCTCTCACAGGTCATTGAGCATTCTAGTTAATTACTCTATGAATAGCCTGTTTTTCTCCCCTCTGGAAACACGTTTCTAATGGCAGTCAAGGTCTGACAAATGTGTCATCTACATAATTAGCTAGGAAGCAACACAAAACATTAAACATGCTTTGTGCCGACAACTATCAAAACATTTCATTTGTTGTCAATTATTCATTACTTTGTAGGTTCTGAAGGGGTTGTTATTATGGAAATAAGTCCAGATGCTAACAAGGTTAGAGTTTTGGATTCAAATTAGTAATCAGAGGACTAACTTTTAAAAAAATGTATCTCATGTACATTCTGCGCCACGTTCAATCAGTAGGAGATTCTAAACAAATTTAGCTCTGTGCTGAAGTTGAAAGGAAAACGATGCTTGCCACATGTGTGAACTCCAGAGCCCTGGCTCATTCTTTGAAGTATGGACTCTTTAATTTTACCATAAATTTCCCCCACCTTTTGGGAACCCCAATTTGTACTTGGTAAATAGAGTTAAAAGATTTCCCAGCATGAAATGGCACAGGGTGGCACAGTCAGGGTTGGAAATGTCTGGCTGGGGTTGAATCTTCTCTGGGGCATGTTATAAAAACGTGGAAATTCGGACTAACAAACTTTTTCATCTGCTCCACGGCCTGGCTGCTAACAGCTGGAGATTGGTTACCTTAGGCAACCTGGGAGTTTCTGTTTATTGTTCTTGTCTCGTTCTCTTTTAACTTGGTATGTCTGAAGTCTCGCTTGCTTCTTGTAGCATTTTAATATCGTGCACAAAGCTGAATACTGCCTTGAAAGCAGCCCTCCTAACGTTTACAGAGGGTACAAAAAGATTCTTCAACAGAATTGACCTCTCAGTGGCAAAGAAAATTGCACTGGAAGACACATGATTGCATCGTCGTATCAGAGCTTTGGATCTGTGGAGAGTCTCAGTCCACTGTCCTCCAGCCTTTCCTTATAAACCAAAATGGCTCACAAATGTCATCTACAATAGTCCAATAAAGATTAGGAACAAAACGCTGTCCTTACGCTGATGAGATAAGGAAGATTCAACTGCAGAATGCAGTACAGAAGAACAGTTCACGAGGCTCGTGCTCAAATCAGAACGATAGAATTCAAATTGCATTGGTGTGTGTGCTTAAAATTTAATTGAAATGATCAGTTTGTTTTCTACATCATGTTCGATCAGATGCCTGTGTCACAGAGCTAGATAAAAGGAAAAGAAGGAAAGCAAATTCTATCAGGGAAATCAAGAAGACCTGTTATCTTCAGGGTGTGCAGAATATGTCAGGAAATAATTCTACCCTGTGCGCCGAGAATGCCCAGTTAATAAAAAACAGATCAGTCACTCACTAAGAGAAAATAACTGCCTCTATCTATGTTTTCCAAAGCAAAACGGCAGGCACATCTTACATTAAATAGGACACATTAAAATAAGCTTTAATAATCTTTATGCAAAAGGAAACTAATCCATTCTCAGATCCTACGATCCACGGCAATAAAAGGAAATCATCAAACTAAAAACAATTTTAGAAATGGCTGCAGACTCTCATTTAATTAACATGCAACAGATCATATATTTATGAGGAAGTCAAAATATTTAGGAAGTCTATAATCCTGTAAGCCTTAATGTGGTATAAAAACAACAAATAAATGCAAAGTGTTACTGTTACACATGCCTGCCTGATCAATGGTTTTCACATATTGATCTATAAATGGAGTTGACAGTCTGTGTTGCCTGCACATTTTCCAAGCAGCGCTATTTTTGCACAAAACCAATACGGGCAATTACCTTTGCTTGAGATGCCAAGTCTTATCAATTCAATGTGATTTAGTGTCATTTTAATTAAATATCAGGATCCACTTCAGGACAATTTATCCAAACAAAGCCTCAAACCTAACTATAAGCTCGATTTGAAGTAAATATGGACATGCCCTACAATCTCATAATATTTCTCAAAAAGTCTGCTAAACAGAAGGCTTACATTTTTAGTAGTGATTTTTTATGTCTGTCTTTTTGGCTAGCCACAACTTTGGCAAGTCTCCTATAACGACAGAAGTAAGAAACAAAAGAAATTTGTTTCTTCTTTCTCCTGATAATATATTGAAGAGAGAGAGAGAGAGAGAGAGAGAGAGAGAGAGAGAGAGAGAGAGAGAGAGAGAGAGATCAGGAGCAGGGTGTTAACAGGGGTGAGAGGAATCTCATATGTTAACACTCAGGGATGGCTCGACCTAAGTCCTCATCGAAACATCAGGGAAAACATGTTTCCCTCTTCATGATGGCCATGAATGTAGTAATGCCCTTCTGTGGGTTTGCGGGATGGGAATGGTGAATATTCATGCTTGTCACTGCCGAAGACACCAGCATTAAATGCTGAAATAGCTCCAGCCTGCTGATCCTGT